GATGGTCCTGGGAGGGATGCTGAGCTTGCTGGACTCGGGTTTGTGTGGATGACTCTCCTGTCTCATATTTTTATTTCTTTTTCCAGTAGCAGAGCGACTGCTGGGAACAATCCAAGGCACGTGAAGAGAAAATGAGGAGTTACCAATACGATTAAATTAAACTTAAGTGGATTTTGTTTTCCAGTGTGTTCAGTGTGCGAGGGACAGTAGTAGCAATCACTGTTGAGATGAGCAGACTCAAGCTAGGACCTCAGAGTATTTGCAATCTGTTTACAGAGAAATATACTTGAGTTCATGCCAAATATGGTAAGTTCTGTATGAAAGGAAGAGGCAAAGTGCGTAGGGCTGGAAAGCAGGGGGTGACTCATGACCCTGGGGAGCTGGGAATCAGGATAGAGAGCCCTAATCTTCACTCTAGGCCAGGGGTTCTCAACTTGTGAGGTTGTATATCATATATCCTGCATGTCAGATATTTACATTTTGATTCATAGCACTATCAAAATTACAGTTATGAAGTAGCAATGAAATAATTTTATGGTGGGGGGTCAGCACAACATGAGGAACTGTATTAAAGGGTCTAAGCATTAGAGAGATTGAGAACCACTGCTCTAGGTTCTGTCATAGACGTACACCTTAGGCATTGGTGTACTTAAGACTAGTTACATAATTTATAGGGCTCAATTTTTTGATTAAACCCAGGACCTAACACATGATACGTGTTATACCATTGAGCTTTATCCCTAAGCCTGTCTAGTTCAAAATAAAAATTCAGGATCTTTTGTATAAAAATAAAGAACTCCAAGAGAGGCAGGCAATCACAGCATTAAAGCAAGTGTGGGATATTTTTCAGTGGAGGCTGCTTGCCCTTAGAGTGAGCGTTGGCTATGTTCTGGTCAGGGTTTCTATTGCTGTGATGAAACACCATGACTAAAGTAACTTGGGGAGGAAAGGGTTTATTGGGCTCACACTTCCACATCACTGTTCATCACTGAAGGAAGTCAGGACAGGAACTCAAACAGGGCAGGAATCTGGAGGACAGAAATGCAGAGGCCATGGAGGGGCGCTGCTTACTGGCTTGCTCATCATGGCTTGCTCAGCCTGCTTTCTTGTAGAACCAAGGATTACCAGTCCGGGGATGGTGCCACCCACAGTGTGCTGGACCCTCCCCCATCAATCACTAAGAAAATGCCCTACAGCCCAGTCTTATGGAGGCATTGTCTCAGTTGAGGTTTCCTCCTCTCTGATGACTCTAGCTTGTGTCAAGTTGACATAAAACTACCCAGCACAGCCTACATGGACTTGACTGGGTTTCTGCTTGCTTTGGGCCTCACCTTGAGCAGCAGGGAGACAGTTCTCACTCTTGCCACATAGGTAGCACCAGGCCTGCCTCCCAGATGACTCAGTGAATGGATGGAGATAGGGGTGAGTTGGTATAATTAAGCCTAATGATCTCTTAGGTTGCTTTTATTATGAACTATTATTAGACCGCAGCTTGGGAGCTGCTCTTTGAGCTAGGGTCTCATTGGGTAGTCCCAGCTGACTTTGAACTTGTGCTTCAGTCTCCCAAGTGTTGGTACCACAGGGGTGAACTGCCCTACTCAGGTCTTCATGGAAGAGAGGTCTGAGGTATGTTTGGAGGTTGCTACCCTCCTGTCCTTGCCAGATTTTTCTATTTCCCCTAGACACCACATTTTATGCTTTCCATTGAGAAATGGGGCGGTTACTAAAGCGTCTATGGGGTGACTTCAGGGCTTCAGCACTACTTTAGGACCCTTGAATTAATTTCTCACTTCCGAGAATGGCCTTGATTAGAGTTCAAATTTCCTTGAACAGGGTCTGGTGTTTCATTTTGAAATTACTTTTTAAATTTATGTTCATTAAGAAAAAAGTCAGAAAAACAAAGATGAACAAAAATAATTGCATATAATTCCAGAGGAAATTTTCAAATGGTATTTTACACATCAGTTTTCAATCTACTTTCCCATTCAATAATATAAGCATGTTTGAGTGTTGATCTGTCAATAGCTGGGCATGGTGGCACATGCCCATAGTGTCTGATAATCAGAACCCTGAGACAGAAGGAGCTTTTTAATTCAGGAGTTCAAAGTCAGCCAGCGGATGAAAGTGGGAGATCTGATCTCAGTTAATTATTAATTTTTTAAAGATTTGTCTATTTTATGCATACCCGGTGCCCTTGGAGGTTAGAAAAGAGCATTAGATCCTCTGTAACTGGAGTTACCAATGGTTGTGACCCGCCATGTGTGTGCTATAAACTAAACCCAGGTCCTCTGCAAGTGCAATAAATGCTCTGAACTGCTAAGCCAACTCCCCAGACCCCCCTTAATTACTAGAAATACTTCCCCATTTTTCATAACTACCTGGAATTCTGACAAATGGTTGACTGTTGTTTTCTTGACCAATCCACCCAAACTGAACATTTGAATTGTTATGACTTTTTTTTTTCCCTATTCTAAATCTTGTTGCCTGGATTTTGTAGATAGATAATAGACTCAGTTTCTCTGCCTTATATTTCCTACCTCCCTATGTTTGTTGCCTAGTGTATATAAAGCTCTTAGCACAAATACAGCTGTGCACAGTAGACCAGACGGGCAAATAATTACCTTCTGTTTTATTGCTTTACAGATCAGAGAGCTGTGTTGTCCAGACGGTGGTTTGAGTTATCAGTAGAGCCTGGAAGTGTTTTCCAAAGGTCTGGGCGAGGCAAAACCCTGTGCTGAGGGATCCCTGGGTTCTCTGGCAGCTTCTTGCTTCTTTGGTTATGGAGTGAGCTCCCAGACAGCTAGGAGTCTTCAATAAAATTAACAAACAACACAGTTCAGGACAGCAGGTGCTCAGCAAGGACTTGTCATTGTTCCCTCATCTAAGAGTCTTCACAGATGGGGTCCCCTTGGCCTGTGCAGTCATCCAGGCCTATCCTTACCCATCACACAGCCTGTTAACTGGGAACATGCTTGGGCTCAAGATTCTTGCCAAAGGCTGCTGAGAAAATTAGTTGTGCTCAGCCTGAAGGGTGACTATCCTTCTGTGCTGGATAGTTTTACGTCAACTTGACACAAGCTAAAGTCATCTGAGAGGAAGGAATCTCAATTAAGAAAATAACTTCATAATATGGGGCTGCAGGCAAGCCTGTAGGGCATTTTCTTAGTGATTGATGGGGCAGGGCCCTGCTCATTGTGAATGGTGTCACTGTGGGCTGGTGGTCCTGGCTTCTACAAGAAAGCAGGCAGAGCAAGCCATTAGGAGCAAGCTAGTAAGCAGCACCCCTCCAAGTCCTCTGCAACAGCTCCTCCCTCCAGGCTTCTGCCCTGCTTGAGTTACTTTAATGATGGATAATGATTTGGAAGTGTAAGCCAAATAAACCCTTTCCTTCCCAAGTTGCTTTGGTCATTGTGTTTTTTTGTTTGTTTTGTTATTCCAGACAGGGTTTCTGTATATTGTTTTGGAGCCTGCCTCTGCCTCCCGAGTGCTGGGATTAAAGGCGTGCACCACCAACGCCCGGCTGGTCATGGTGATTTTGTTTTAAGCAATAGAAACCCTAAGTAGGACACCTACCTTGAGGAATGTCCTTGGGATGTGGGAAGCTGGTCATGGAAAAAGCAAGTTCCAGACTAACTTTTGCTGGCTCATTGAACCTGAACAATCTCCCCTTCCTGCTGCCCTTTCTGCTATCCCGTAGGGAACTGGTGGTCATAAGACAGTAAGCATAAGCGACAAAATTCCATACCCTGCCTGTCCTTGCCTGTGCACGGTAATTACTCTATTTTAGCTCATTTACTGATGATCTGGTTTACTTGCCCCTCCCTCAAATGTTAGCTTCTTAAGGGGAGGGTCCTTTTTTTGTAACCCCAGGGCTCAAAGCATTCATGTCCATTGAACCTTGAATATAGGTTGCGTGAATAAAATCTCAGCGCCAGCCTGTCAGTAGTGCAGCCTATAATCATACCACTCTCTAGAGGCTGAGTCAGGAGGATGGCCTGGGGTGTGTATGTGGGGGCATGCCTGTAATCTCAGCATTCAGGAGGTGGAGGTAGGAAGATGAGAAGCTACACAGTCTGAGACCACCCTAGAAAACATGGGCGTCTGTCTCAAAAACATAATATCAATTATATTTTTTTAAAAAAGGAACTAGTAATAGGGCCTCTCTCGCAAGGTTGTGAAGATCAAATTAAAAAAAAAAAAAACAGGAAGCATTAGGCACTTGTCTGGTAGAATATAATGAGAGCAGCAGCGTCGTGAGCAAGATTTGACGTCTTACAGATCGTCAAAAGGGTACAGGGTTAAGTAGTTTATATATAGCCAGGACACACTGGCTGCTGGTTTATGCTTACTGTTCCTAATCAAGCTCCCTGTGAGCAAACCCTTGGAGAGACCACAGGACGGGAGTCGGGAGGTATTAGCACTCAGCCCAGGACAGAAAGGGTTAGCGGGCGCGCGCCCCGCTCACAGGGACGCAGGCTTGGCGGCGGGCTCTTCCTCGCCTCCTCATTGGCGCACACGCCCCTTCCTGTCACGGCCGGCCAGGCCCCGCCCCCTGGGCGCTGCCGGAGTGGACGGTTCCAGGGCATGCTAATGAGGGGCTGGTCGCCGCCGCCCATTGGCCGGCCGCGGAGTGTCGGTGAAGTCAGCTCGGAGTAGCAGAAAAACAGAGCGGGGCTGACTGCAGCGTGGAGCGCGAGCTGGGCTGGACGCGCGCAGCCCTCGCCGGGGACCCGCGAGGTAAGCGGGTGGCGGCTGCGCTCTCCGGAGGTGGCTGCCGGGCGGGCGCAGTGGGCCCCCGGAGCGGCGCCTTTGTTCCTTGCGCGGAGGAGGTGCTTTTAAAGGGCCAGCTGTTGGAGGGACCTGGGGGGGCCTCCTACTCCAGAGCATCCCCGGGTGGCCGCGGGGGACCTCCGCCGAGCCGTGCCTCCGGTTGCTCCGTGTGTCCCCCTTCAGTTCCTTTAAGGAAAGTTGCTAGGACGCAGGGAGCGCGAGGGATTCCAGATTTCTTTATGCCTTTTCGGTTTTGGTAGGTGGAGGTAATCGCGATCATGGCCTCTGATAGGAGGGAATGTCCGCCCGCCCCAGGCTGGCTGCAGTGTGGGTGGTTGCAGACGGGAGAGCCCGGGTGGGTTTTGCCTGGAAAGTGAAACTACCGAGGGTCTCCTCTGCAGCGGCCAGAGGTGGAAGGAGGGAGCCAGCGGCGGGATGGAGGCATCTCAGGTGTGTTCATTCATCAGCACCCTCCCCTTCCATCCCTAAAGCAGAGGGCGGCGGGATGGGCGCAAGGACTAAGCCGTTGGCTCATACCCTCCTGCACCCGCTTGTGGTGGTGGGTGTGTGTCCGGGGATAAGGTGCCTTCGCTCACCGCCCAGGCCCCTTCATCTTTCCAATGGATGATGGCATCTCTCTCGCTAGGCAGCCCATCGCCAAAGGGACGGAAAGCTACACCCTTCTCCTATGTCCTGGGCAGGCTCTCCCTGCTTCCCAGCGTGGTTTCCCCGATAAGCGGTACTGACATTCAAGATAGAAGGGAAAGGAGGCTTAAAGTCATTATGTTCCTTTGAAGGGCAATGTGCTGTCGAATTCTGTATTCTGGTACCTCTGCTTGTCGTACTACGGCTTTGAAATTCATCAGTGCATGCTTTTTTTCCCCCCGAGCAGACAGAATGTATTATGCACTGCTACATAAAAGCAGAAGGGATCCTTCTGAGCGGGCTCATTTCATCCAGTCCGAGGGTTTTCCCAGCATGTTCTAGATGAGCCTTTGGATTTTTGTTGAGCTCTGGGATGCCCCTGTTGTCACAGGGCCAACCTACTGAAATTGCTCAAATTGATTTCACTGTCAGTAGGTGGGAGGTTCATCTAGAGACATCATAGGACCTGCATGGCATTTTAGGCCTCCGACTACATCTCCCCACCCTTCAGCCCCCCACACTGTGTGTCTTTTTCTTCCTAGGTGAAGGCCAGGGATGGCTTGCCTGGCCAATGTTTCTTTGATTTTTGAATGCCTGTTTAGGTTTGAGTGTGTGTTTTTGGTTGGAAAGATAGCTTGGTGGTGACTGAAGGGTGGATTAAAAGTGGGGTGGGCAGGAAAAGGGGACAGTAGTCTCAGGGACAGAAGACATTTGGAGATTCTATAGTTCAGCCTTTGGTGAGATGTCTACAGAATGAGGTGTGTGTTGGCTTCGAGGGGGTGGGGTGGAGGAGGAAGACACTGCCAACAGTTTTCTGCCCCACCCTCCTGCTACTGCCTTAAATAACTCCATGCCAGCCCTGCCCTGAGGTCTCCTTGAGCCTGAGGGGAAAGGGTGGTCTGTTGGGCCACTCCTGCTCTGGGCCCATTTGGAGGTTAGGAAAGGGGCTAGTTCTTAGGGGGTCAAAGATGTTATATTTTTCAGCTTGAGGACCTGTGACAACCGGTGACTTCTCTGCAGGCAATGAGTAGCTGAAGTGAAGTGCTTTTGACCCTGTGGGGTGAAGGACCACCACCCTCTTCTGCAGAGCCCCCGCCCCCTTTGTTTGCTCTGTCTTTCTCTTACCTGCTTTTATTTGCTATAGTGGTAGAGTTTCCCTAAACTTTTTGAAGGGATTGGGAATATTGGGATGGGGTTGGAATTATGGCAAAGGAGAAAAGAAAATTGCTTCTTCCTGGCAGAACAAAGACTTGCTCGGCTTTTCTTTTTCTTCTCCAAAATAGAGTGGGGTGCAGATAGCAGAGTCTGGATTGATAGGGTCCAGGGAAGAGAGCTTTGTGTGGCACTGGTATTGTCATGATCACTCCGGGCTCCACTCTGGATGGACCCTTCTCTGGGTGTGGAAGCAGTTTAGGGTTTAGAAAAAAAGCCTTGGTCAAAGAGCTTGGGCCAGAAGGGGCACGGTCAGGTTTGGTTCTGATCAGCCTCATCTGGGCCTTGGGTTTGTGTTTTATTCTATGATCCTGTTGGTGAAGTGGGAGGCTTTAGAGCAACGACTTCCTAGGTTCCCAGTAGCACTACTTAATTTAAATTCACAAGTACATTTTGTGATGGCGATTTTAGATGCTTTCCTGTTTGCTAGTTGGATGTTAAATTCTCAGTATTTAGCAACAGGACCGAAAAATCACTTTAAAACTCCAGCTTCACTTGGATTCAGACTAGCTTTTTCTTGATTGGTGCGATTCATGTGGTTTTAGAGTAGTAAATAATTCAGAATGATCCGGAGTGGGAGTGAGAGACACAGACCTCAGAGGTGGTGTGTGGGGGAAGGGAGGATGGGGTGACAGATTGCTGAGCAGAGGCCCTTTCTGTAATTCATTCTCTCCCCATCTATGTTTTATTTATGATTGCACAGGTGAACATTTCAATATTGGGAACATGGGGAGGGGACCTTCCTCTATGATTGATTCATTCAGCAGCCTCCACTGAGAAGTGAGTGTTGGGAGGTTTGGCCATTTGTCTGAGGTCACAGCTAGCAAGATGCCCATGGGGGATGGATCTGGGTCTTATGCTGTAGAGTAAAGCTCTCCATTCTGTGAGAGGAGCCTAAGAAGGGAGGGAGAAAAATGGGGAAGGAAACAAGAGATGGAGAGGGAGGCTGGCGACTCAATAGCTTCAGCCCATGGAGCCAAGAGTAGAGCATTCCTGTGTCCTTGGAGAGTGAAAGAAGGAGCAGAACCCCTTCGCTTAGACGTGTGTGTGTGTGTGTGTGTGTGTGTGTGTTTATGTGTGTCTGTATGTGTATATGTGTGTGGCATGTGTGTCTGTATGTGTCTTATGTGTGTGGCATGTGTCTGTATGTGTGTGTGTATGTGTCTGTATGTGTCTCTGTGTGTGTGTGTGTCTCTGTGTGTGTGTATGTGTGTGTGTGTCTCTCTGTGTGTGTATGTGTCTGTATGTATGTGTCTCTCTGTGTGTGTATGTATGTGTGTGATATTAGGGAGGTGTTGCATGCACTGATCTTGGCTTATATTCTCCTTGCTGACTCTCTGATTGTAGAATGAGTTTGAAGCTGCTTTTTTGAGCCAAACAAGATCTTTAGGTGGAGCAGGCAGAACTTAAACACAGAAGAGTCAGATGTGCTGGGGGGGGGGTCGTGTTGGGTGATGCTGGTGAGAGCTGGGCCACATTCTGCTGAAATTTCAGTTTTTTTTTGATGTCCTTCCTTGCTTCCTTCTTCCTTCCTGTACAAAACTCAAGTTTTCCCGGGAATGAATCTCTTTAATGCAGGCGGCATTTTCCCCTCTGATTTCCATCATACATTTTATGGGACAGCATTTCATGTACTGCCTCGCAGAGGAGACACTTGGAGACGACTGAGCTCCTGAACCTTGTCTTTTGTAGGTGGGGAGGCTCTGGGCTGTGAGCAGTGGATAACCAGAGCATTAACCATCCAAAGGCAAGGGTAAACGATGATAATACCTGGAAGTGTGTGCCCGAGCCACCAGCCATGAGTAGCATGCCTTTCTCTGGGCAGCTCTCAGGCACTAGGAAGCCCTCCCATGGCTTCTTCCATCAGTCCTGCTTCAGGCACATTGTGGCGCGCTGTGTCTTGGTGCTTTTGAGGCTTTCCCTCCTTTTTCCCGTGTCTCCTTCCTGTACCCTTTTCTTTTTCTCCCTTCCTGTTGTGTCCTTCTCCCTGCTCTGTCCTCATCCTGTTAGTAACACATCTTTCTAGTGTGCTTTAATGTATTATTGTCTCATTAAAATTTCATGTTCTCTGTTCTTAATTTAAAAGCAGTTTAGTCTTTTTGAATATGTATTTTACACACAAAACAAAAAGCAAACCTAATTAAACTGCCTTTTATTTCTGTGTGGCCTCCCATTGATTTTCTTTTGCCCCCACTAGTGTGTGGTCAGTAGTGGTTCTTTCTAGAAAATTTCTTCCCCCAAGGTCTCTGTCATGTGGTTATTGTTTTACAAACAAAATCAGCTACAACAGCAGAAAAAGTTCCCACCCTTACATTGTGAACCACCAGGGACACCCTGTCCCAAGAGGTATATCCTGTTTCTTGACTTCCTTCAATGAAATAATTATCATTCATGTGTTTTAGAAGAAGGCTTAGTCTACATGGGGGCTGATGGTGAATATGAGTCTAATAATGCAATGCTTAAGGGTAGGAAGCTGGCAGCCTATTGCCAAGAGAGCCTATCCAGGAAGAATGTGCAGTGATGGTTTTGTGTTTCCCAGACTACACCAACCCAACTGGCTGTAGCAGAATGCAGAACCCTTTAGAAAAGAATAAGATGCTTACCACCTTTCCCATGAATGTCCTGTGTCCACCCCTGGGCAGAGCCACATACCAACATATTGTTGGTGTGAAATTCTAGATGTTATAATGGAAGTATATTGGTGAGCATCATATCTTCCTTCTATAAGATTGAGTCTTTTAAAGATTTCATTGAGAGTGTGTTGTGTCTGCAGATGCCCTTGGAGGCCAGGAGAGGGCATCAGATCCCTAGGAGTTGAAGATATAGGCAGTTGTGAGTCATCTGACATGGGTGCTGGGAATTGAACTCAGGTCCTCTGCCAAACTGGGAAGCACTCTTAACTACTGGGTCATCTCTCCATCCCCAGACTTGAGTGTTTGTGCTCAGTGGCCAGTGAGCTCAGTATATAAAGGAATCTTCAAAAGCAAGAAAGTACCTTGAAGTCTGCAGTTTTTATACTGAAAATCTCTGCCTGAATTCTGTATTCAGCTCTATAATCCCTATGCTGGTTTTAGTGTAAACGTATTTAAATTGAATACAATTGATGGACTAGGAAAATGCTGTGTTTACCTTGGGCTCTCTCCAAGTGTTCACAGCAGTCTGTAACCCAACTGGAGAAGCCAGGAGCAGGGCAGACCTCAGACCTGTTGGAGTTGAGAACTACCCTCCAGCCTTAGCTGCTGGCTCTTCTACATCCTTAAGGCTGGGCTCTTCTCACACTAGGATTTGTTCCTTCACTAGTGGCTTTTGCCTCTTTTTGTAGACTTGCTCATGTCTGAGAGACATGCATTTCTTCCTCTGTTCACCTGTTTCTGTTATTCTTGTTGGCTTCCTGGCCTTCGTCCTCCATACTGTGAGATCTGGAAAGAGAGAGAGGAATCTGTTACACAAAGACAGACAGACAGGCAGATTTACAGACACACCGTAGTATTAACTATGAGACACATGTGAAGATGTATAAAGAAGGCAGTATCATGCTGGTAACCTGTTCCCTAGAGTCAGTCACTGAGTAGGATTTTCCATTGCTGCAGGAA